TATATGCAATCCTGAGGAGCATTTGCAAAAGCTAAAGCACAGACATGGACAACCTCAAAAAGCCTGGCCTTGTTCTAGAAATTTTATGTCAACACGTTAGGGACACTAACCTCTCTTCGGGTAGAAACAATAGCTAACTCATCCAAAATACAACATTCTAATGAAGATGCCTTGATATAGAATTGATGAATCAATACAGTAACTAACAAGTTCTATTAAGTATTAACCAGCAATCATGGTCAATTAATGTGGTGCCATTTACTGTCAATGGTTGCATCATCAGTGTTTCCATCTGATGTCATCACGGTCTATGTTCTACTAGCATCGCTAGTATATATTGTCACACAAGTAGACAAAGAGCAATAACCACGTATGCTCTTGTATCACGGGGAGATGGCATCCCAAACAAGGTGCAAGGTTGAGTGAAAATTCAATTCCATTTGAATATTATCTACTAGCGTTATTTTTTGTTTCCAGCCTACAACATTTGCGCACTCTGTGCATTAATTATTTTGAGAAAAAGGCAGCAGGCTGCAATGTTATTCATAAAAATTTTATAACAATATCCTATGACGTGTCTGCTATGATAACTGAAAATAGCATGACATTGTAAATAAGTAACTTCACCATTCGGGCAAGCCAAAATTGCCGAATTGAAAATTTGCCCTCCACAAGAATCTCACCTTCCCCTGGCGTAAAGTGTTGATGGCCTGGTCAACTGAGGAGTAGCCTTCAGAAGGGCAATCTGGGTCTCCATCTGCATCACTAACAAAGAAATCCACTGTTTCTTGAGTTATTTCAGCACTTAGAGTTCTAAATGGCACATCTGATCCATCCAAACCACCGAAAAGAGATCCATTATCTCCTTCTTTTGAAGAACCATCCAGATATTCTGCACCCCCAATTCCACCTTGACTAATTGCATAAGTTCCAAATCTTAACCATCTCTTATTGTTTAGTCCAGACCCGCGCAAATAAACAAAGGATTGCCTGCAACTGATACATCTGAAAATAGAACTCAAAAGGGAAAAAATATAAACATCAAATTACTGTCGATGACTTTCAAAAGACACTAATGGTTTAGGGAATTTATGACCTTGAGCTGATAATTGCATGAGGCAACAAGTTGGAGCTCAGAAGAAAGCAATCCATTCAGAAGGAGATCCAAATACAGAGTCCACTGCTTCAGAAAATATATATACATGTTCATCTATCCTCTCTCACTTGCTTAGTTGCTTCTGTTTCTGTTCTGGCACTGTTTACTTGTGTGGAAGGTGGAAGTATCCTAACCTCATATTCTGGATGTCATAAGAAAACAACACAACCACATGACAAAACTTTATCTTTTATCTTTCAAAAATAAGAGTTATCATATGCCAATTGTAAGCTGCTAGAAGACATAAATTGAAGCTCCTACTTATGCAGATTACAGACTGTAAACAAATTAATATAAGATATATTTCGGCAGATAGATATATCTTCCTTTTTACACCCGGATTTTGTTATAGTAAAGCAGTAAATAAGAAAAATGGTAATTATTTTATTAAGTAAACATGAAAATAAATACAGCAGAGGCGTGAAACATGGTTACAAAAGCATAAATACACCCAGAGAAGCATTTTATCAGCATACCAATATCTTTAATTTCCGAAGATTTTTTAAACCTCGCATCCTGAGTGCTTCACTGGGAAGACGAGTCATTTAGCATGAATTACCTTCACTAAGAACTAATTTAGATCATGTGGTGGGAAGATAATTTAAATTCGCCGAAGGAGGGACCTATAAATTACCGTCTCCTCCAAAGGAGGTCTAGTTTCAGCAGAAGACCATCTTCTTGAACGGAGCGAATCTTCTCCATCATCCTTACCTTCCTACTACTTTTTATTTGGGATGTAAATCAAAATTTGGATATCGTTCTAGATGAGAATACTTGGGTTGCACCTATGTTCCTTTGGGTGAAAGTACTTAGGATTACAATCCAAAATGTTCATTTGGATGCAGTATTACTTCTACTATACACTGCTATAGAGAGCATTAATTTCTGCCCAAAAAAATAGTTGAATACCCAAGATAAATCCTCTGCATAAAAGGACGCATTGGCCCGCCTGTTTCTAATCCAAATGATTGCTCTATCTTTGAATTGCAATCCATGAGTCTCGGTTATGGCGGACATCCAAATATGTCATTTCCCTTGGATTTTTTTAGATGTATTGAAAAATGGAATGTAAGATTAAAATCCTTAGGATTAAAGGGTATTTAAACATGTATTTTCCCCCGAAAACTTAGTGCAATAATCTACATCGGTCATTTTTACTAGTTCAGTCATCATTCATAGCGAAAACTAAAGAATCTGAAAGATAAAGGAGAACAAAGTTCAAGCAATTCACCGAATCAGCCCGAGTGATGAAAGGATAGCTCACAATGTCAGCCCTCACAATCACTTACATTCATTTTCACCGCTAGCCCAAGAAATTCCTCATCTAGCTTCAGAGTCGCAGCCAGATCCCCTCTCTCTTTGCGATTCACGTTCATCGCTCCAAATATCCTCAATTTAGGGTTTCGAGCTGTAGAGAGAATTAGCATTTTACGGCGGGATGCGAGCCTTTCGAACATCAGAGGACAGAGGCACAAGAGATTTTGTTACTGGTGAATTTAACAGCAAAATTCCTCAAAATGCATTATTTCATAAATTCCCAACTTTGTTTCTCTCCAAAGAAATTCTTTTTCTCTCAGCAAAATAAAAAGGCATCTGAAAAAATTATGTTTAATTTAAAAAGATGCAAGATTAGGGCCATTTCTTTCTACAAACTCACAGCCCCTTCAGCGATAAAAGAAACAAAATCGGGAGGGGAAAAAATGAACCCTTTAGCCGAAGAAAAATGATAAAAGGCGTTGCTTAAAACCCTCGATTTTCCAACCAAAACCCCAATGCTGTGCTTGGGAACTTGTTAGGATACAAGCAACTTGGGGAACCAACTCTTAAAAGCTAGCTGTTAAGAAGGAAAAACCAAGTCACTTAAATACTCCATCAAGCTTTTCATTTTACTCGATGTGGGACTTAGGCATCCCATACTACCCAAGTCCCTAACAGGCCATGCGTCATCACGTCACTTATCAGCCCACGTCCCATCGATCGCTCCTCAAATCGAGGCCGAAGTGATCTTCCTCCTGTCGTCAGCCGACAAGTGTAGAGCAAAGGATGGCTCACCTTCCAGCTTACAGTTTGTCACCGTCATTTGCATGGACGAAGTGACCAATCTGTCATTGACATCTTCTTTATATGCAGATGTTATTAGCATAGCCAAAAGAGGCCATAATCAAAGGTTCGCAATCTAAATTCTCCTCCTGACCTGAATCTCAGATATTATCATCTCTAATGCACATAGCATATAAAAAAAATTGTTCTATCACCCCACTCAAGCTCAAGTTCATCAATTTACTTGAACATCGGAGGTACCACGGGGGAATCATCACCCTGTTTGATCTACATCATAAAACTTGAGATCTAAAACCATATAGTCATGATTAATTCAAAGAGATTAACAAAATCAAAAGAGAGCGGAAGCTTATACCTGAATCCATTGCTTGATCTTGATTTTGGGTTTTGGATCTTCTAACCTTAGGGTTTTCTCTTTAGCCGAATTTCTCTAGCTAGATGGGGGTGTAGAGAATTAGAGAATGTAACCCTAGGTTAGGGACCATAACCCCTTATTTATAGATGTTGTACTTTTGTAATTTAGCCCCTCAATAAATTACAATTACAACCTGGTATCTGCACATATGACCCCATGATCATTTAAATACCAAATTAACCCAACTTAATTGATCACTTTAGTGGGTTATCCTGAAAGATAGCAATACACATTGATTAATCATATGTGCCCACAAATAGATTTATTAGATTAAATCCAACAATCTCCCACTTGGGCACCATATGATTCCTTAAATTGTGTATAACCTTATGAGCTCAAAAATTGCTATCACTGAAATGGTATTTCCGAACAATCTCGTCCATTGACTATATCAATATAGGATCAAAGCGGCCTTCGTCACATTTATCGTGACTCGACCCATCAATGGTCACATATACCAATACAATCAAACGACATAGATCAATCATGGATGTGCAGCATGAAAATTACATGCAATGTGATCAGTACATGTCTATTTTCAACTGGTCCTCCTTAGTGAGGTCAAAACCAAACATAATGTAACAGAGTGTCTTAACTGAAAACTTTATTCTGATCAGACAATACAAACAAACATAAAGCACCACAAATACAAACTCCCACTAAAACATAATATCCTCAAATAATACCACACCCATATGAGCAGTATGCTCATGAAAGACCTTAGGTGGCAATCCCTTAGTAAGAGGATCAGCTAACATGGAGTTTGTCCCAATGTGCTCTATGGATATCTGTCCACTCTGTACCCTTTCTTTCACAACCAGGAACTTAATGTCAATATGTTTTGACTTAGTTGAGCTCCTGTTGTTATTGGAATACATTACTGCAGATTTATTGTCACAATATAACCTTAGTGGTCTTTCAACATTTTCCAAAATGCGCAGTCCCGTGACAAAATTTCGCAGCCATATTCCCTGATTGGATGCCTCATAGCAAGCTACAAATTCTGCTGCCATAGTGGAGGAAGCTACTAGTGTTTGTTTGACACTTTTCCATGATATAGCTCCTCCTGCTAACATATAAATGTAGCCTGATGTAGACTTCCTGCTATCTTGGCATCCAGCAAAATCAGAGTCCGAATACCCAATGACCTCTAATTTCTCTGATTTTCTGTATGTGAGCATGTAATCTTTTGTTTTCTGAAGATACCTCATAACCCTTTTGACTGCTATCCAATGATCCATACCAGGGTTGCTTAAGTATCTGCCTAACATCCCAACAATGTACGCAATATCCGGACGCGTACATACCTGAGCATACATTAGACTTCCTACAGCCGAAGCATAAGGAATCTTCTGCATTTCCTGAATTTCAAGGTTACCTTTAGGGCACTGATTGAGACTAAACTTGTCTCCTTTAGCAACAGGGGTGTCACCTGGTCTGCAATCTTGCATGCCAAACCTTTTAAGTACCTTATCGATATAGCTCTTTTGTGATAATCCAAGAATACCCCGAGAGCGATCTCGATGTATCTGGATCCCTAATATAAAAGAGGCGTCCCCAAGATCTTTCATCTCAAAATTCTTTGATAGAAATCTCTTGGTTTCGTGCAACATGCCTATATCATTAGTGGCAAGCAAGATGTCATCCACATACAGAACCAGAAAAATATACTTACTCCCACTGAACTTGTGATATACACAGTCATCAACAATGTTCATCTCAAAACCGAACGAGATAACTATTTGTTGAAACTTATGATACCATTGACGAGGAGCTTGCTTGAGTCCATAGATGGATTTCCTTAATTTGCAAACCATATTCTTTGGGTCTCCTGACACAAAGTTTTCTGGTTGCACCATATAAATCATCTCATCAATGTCTCCATTGAGAAATGCAGTCTTAACATCCATCTGATGTAACTCAAGATCATAATGAGCAACAAGTGCCATGATTATTCTGAAAGAGTCTTTCGATGAAACCGGAGAGAAAGTCTCTGTATAATCAATGCCTTCCTTTTGAGTATAGCCTTTAGCCACAAGACGCGCCTTATACCTCTCCACATTACCGTTTGCATCCCGCTTGGTTTTAAAAATCCATTTACAACCAATTGGTTTTGCACCTTCTGGCAATGGGACAAGTTCCCAAACCTTATTGTCTTGCATAGACTTATACTCTTCATTCATGGCATCAATCCACTGTTGAGAGTTAGAACTTTTCATGGCCTGAGAGAAGTTGATTGGATCATCTTCTAACATTCCACTACTTTCCTCATGTTCTTGGAGAAATACAATATAATCATCCGGAATAGCATTTCTCCTTTCTCTCGTGGATCTCCTTAATGGCACTGGTTCTTGAGGTTGTTGAGTTTGTTCTTCTGGAACAGGGAGTTGTTCAACATTATCATCTTGAGGTTCCGGATTTACTTCTTGAGCAACAACAGGTATAGGAACCTGAATATTGTCAAAAGTAACTGTATGGATTGGATCTGAAGCCAATTCCTCCTCAAAACTAATGTCTCTAACCTTATTTCTCCCCCCAAACTCAACATCCTCAAAGAATGTTGCTGTTCCCGTCTCAAAAATATTCCTTATAGTGGGATCATAAAACTTATAGCCCCTAGAGCGATCAGGGTACCCAATAAAGTAGCTGCTAACTGTTTTGGAGTCCAATTTCTTTTCATTTGGCCTATAAGGCCTTGCCTCAGCTGGACATCCCCAAATATGTAAATGCTTTAAACTGGGCTTTCGACCAGTCCAAAGCTCATAAGGTGTTTTAGCAACTGCTTTACTTGGTACTCTATTCAGAATGTAAGCTGCTGTCTTAAGTGCTTCTCCCCAGAGTGACTCTGGTAAAGAAGAATGAGCAATCATACTTCTTACCATATCCTTAAGAGTCCTGTTTCGTCTTTCAGCTACACCATTCATGCTAGGTGAACCCGGCATAGTGTACTGTGGGACGATACCGCATTCCTCTAGGTATCTAGCAAATGGTCCTGGACGTTGTTCACCTGAACCATCATATCTACCGTAGTACTCACCACCACGATCAGATCTGACGGTTTTAATTCTTCTGTTGAGTTGATTCTCAACTTCAGCTTTATAGGCTTTGAACATGTCCAGAGACTCAGATTTTTCATGAATAAGATATAGGTGCCCATAACGTGAGTAATCGTCTATGAATGATATAAAATATTGTTGACCATTCCAGGATTCCGTAGGGAATGGCCCACAAATATCCGTATGTATCAATTCTAAGACATCCGAAGATCTGTTGGCACCTAATCTCTTCACTTTGGTCTGTTTTCCCTTGATACATTCAACACATACGTCGAAGTCCGAAAAATCAAGGGAATCCAAAATGCCATCAGACACAAGACGCTCAACTCTACCTTTTGAGATATGACCTAAGCGCTTATGCCATAATGTCGCCGAATTTTCCTTATTTAATTTACGCTTAGTACCACGTGATTCCACATGCAAGGATTCATTGTAAGAAGCAATTGTATCAAGCAAATATAGGTTGTCATAAATACTCAAGTAACCGGTTCCCACAACATTTGAATTAAAAGATAAACTGAATTGACTGTTTCCAAATGAACAAGAATAACCTGATTTGTCCAATACAGAAACAGAAACCAAATTCCGTCTAAAAGACGGTACTACAAAAGTATCTTTTAAATCCAAATAATAACCAGTTCCTAACAACAACCTAAAGTGCCCAATTGCTTCCACATCTACCGATTGT